TCAGGGTGGTGTCACCGCTCCCGCTCAGCTGTGGTGTGGGGTCCGGGAATCAGAGGCTGCAGGCCAGGGGCCGACGGACCTTCACTGCGTCACACTATCAAATGTGTGCACAGGTTTTCTCGCAGTCGTTAGCTCTGTGACCTTGGACAAGCCATTTCTCCTTTCTGACTTTGTTTCCTCCTCCGTATAAACGGGGACAACAGTGTGGCCTAATGCTAATGCTGGAAGAGGAAGGGGCCTCCTCCAAACCACCCAGGTGACAGCGCGTGGCCTGGACGGTGCTCCACCTTATTCGTTAGCGCCCTTTCCTAGAGACACGTCAGAAATACATGCTTCAGGACGCGCTACATCATCTGTGTGGCACAGAGATGGGGTCAGGCAAAGGTATATACTTCCAAGTCATTCACAACCCTTTTTTAAAAAAATTTCAAAATCCTTTTATATGCATAGCAGATCTAGAAGGATATTCAGCAAAGTGTGAAGAGTGGGTGATGGAACGTCAGGCAGGAATTTTCTAGGACCCCTGCTCAGGGTTCTACCAGCTGGGTGATCTTGGGCAAACGCGTGTAAACAGTCTCCTCCCGGCCGAGATAACAGTATCCGCCAACAGAGAGGTGATTCCCTTAAATAAACTTTTGATTGTGGGACCTTTCAAACTTTCACAAAAGAAGGTATCTTGTCTAATGAGCCTCTGTAACCCAGCTCAGCAATTAGCAATGCACTGCCAATCTTGTTTCATCTCTACCTCCCCTGCTGGTTATTTTAAAGCAGATCTCAAATAGAGAGACTCTTTTAAGAGTTTGTTTATTTTTTAGTCCTCACCAGGGGATATGTTTACTGATCTGAGAGACAGAGAAACATGAATGGGAGAGAGAAACATCAGTCAGCTGCCTCCCTACACACCCTGACCCGGGACCGAGCCCACAGCCTTTTGTTTTATAGGATTGATGCTCCAACCAACTGAGCCACCTGGCCAGGGCCAAATAGACTCTTAAAAAAAAAATCACAATATTATGATCACATCTAAAATTTCTTTAAAATAATTTCTTAAAATCATCCAATATCTAATCATCTAGTCATTGAATATCTAACCATCTGCACTTGTCCCACAAATGTATTTTTAATTTGATATGCTTGAAGTAGTATCCACACATTACCTTTGGCTGACAGATCCACCCCCCGCACCCCCAGCATTTTATCAGGACAGTTTTCAAACACCCAGTGAAGGTGGAGGACGGCACCGTGAGCTCCCGCATCACCCGATTCATGCATTAACATGTTACTGTGCTTTCTTTGCCACATGTCCACCCACCTGTCTCTCTCTAGTCAATGACACTTTTAAGTCTCTTCATTTAAATACTATCTCCCTCTCACCTTTTTTCCTTACCATTTGTTTTTTTCAAAAAGATTTTACTTTTTATTTTTAGAGAGAGCGGGAGAGAGAAAAAGAGGGAGGGAAACATCAATGTGTGGTCGCCTCTTATGTGCCCCGACCTGGCCTGCAACCTAGGCATGTGCCCTGCCTGGGAATTGAACTGGCGACCCTTTGGTTGCAGGCTGGCACTCAGTCCACTGAGTCACGCCAGCCAGGGCTCCTTACCATTTATTTGTTGAAAAAACCAAGTCATTTGTCCTGTAGATTTTCTCATTTGAGGATTAAATGAGCTAATATGTGTGTGGTGCTTAGAATATATTAGGTACCTCATATTTATTATTTGCTTTTTATTTATCTACATATTTTATAAAATATATCATATATTTTTTATTTATCTGTATCTTATCCAGTGAAAATATATCATTTTTGTAACAACCACAAATTTAAAAAGTCCCCACTGCTACATCTTTTCATAGCCACGTTGGTCTGTAGCCACACATGGGGGGGTCTGTCCCATGTATCAGACCCTGGGGAAGGACCACCAGCACCAGGCAGTTGCAGGTGGCAGAATAAAGGGGTGTGGGGGTGGGAATGAGAGCCAAGGGGGCTCAGTGGAAATGGCCAGGGGTAGTCTGAGCCAGGAACCTGGATCAGCGCCTCCCCTGGGGCTGAGGATGGTGGCACCAGGAGGGAGGCCCAGAGGAAGCTTGGACAAGGTGTGAAGAGCTGTAGAAGTCCCGGGAGAGGGTGGAAGCAACACACATATCATTAGGGGTGGAGTAGGATGCACAGCCTGGCTCCAGGGGCTGGGGCAGACGGAACAGGAGAAAGATGAACCTCCCAGGGGATCCGACTGCACAGACTCAGACAGCAAACAGACAGACAGGAAATGCACAGGTACAAGGCGCCTTCCTCAGCTGCTACAGGAGAAAAGCTGGAGACGGGTGGGAGGAGCTCTGGGCTGAGGGAGTCTGGATCTCTGAGCCCGGTTTTGCAACCCATCACCTGTGTGGTCTTGGGTGAAGTTCCTTCCCTTCATTCAACCTCTGTTTCCCCATTTGCAAAATAGCGTGGTGGCCTGGGAGCCCCCTGGGGGTTGTTCTAGGTCTGGCAAGGCAAATGGTCTATCCCATTGCCTGCTGGGTTGCAGGAGAGGGTCAAGGTTGCTGGGATTTGAATGTGTTGGTGGCTCCTTTAGCACTTTTCCTTTCAAGATGGCAAACATCAGGTAAAGGCTCAAAACTACGAGTCACCAAATCAAAGTAAGGCATGTACAGGGTCTAGTGTATACTATCCAGTCCCCAGCCTGCTGCTTCCCTGCCTGTGGTCTTAGGTAGCGCTTCCCAAGTTATTGGTGATGTATGTCGTGACTAAAGGAATGGACGGGGCGGGTTCTTCCTCTCTGAGCCCAGATCCAGGGCTTCCAAAAGTAATCCTCAGGGTAAACCTGGCTAGTTAACCTCTGAGTGAAATCTGCTTAACATTTTAGCCAAACAAAATGGAAAAGTGAATACATGTAAAAATAAAGCACTTACTTGCATCCCTGGCCCGGGACCCAGCCACCTGCCGACCATTGCTATTGTGCAACCACAGGCCAGAGGTCCCCCTGGCCGGCTTTGATTCCTGGGTCATTGTTGTCTGTACTGAATGAAATTCATTAGCCCATTGTGAGCTGTTCAGGTTTAATGCCTCTGAAATTGCCTGTGAAACTGGAGCGTGGCGGAGAAGCACGGACACTGGCTGTCCGTCTGCACGGAGCCTCCCTACCAGCCTCCTCCCGAGTTGAGCCATGTGCCGCCCGGGGAACCCCCAGTGGGTCCTCCCGAATCACAGCTGCTCCCTGTGAACGCTGTGGTGTGAGTGTGAGGCCAGGAGGGCAGACCGGTGTCCATGCCTGTTCTGGAGAAAGCAGGATGAGGGACGTCCACTGGGGCTGAAAGGAGGCCTGGGGACTGGGGCGCGCCATGGTGGGAACTACGTGGGGGCAGAAACGAGTGGCCCTTCTGCGGCAGGTTTTGGGCTCTGTAACGGGTTGAATTATGTCCCTCAAAAAGATGTTGCAGTCCTAGCCCCCCCTCACCTCAGACCATGACCTTATTTGGACATTGGGCTGTTGCAGATGGAGTAAATTAAGATGAGGTCATGCGGGGCTAGGGTGGGCCCATGGTCCAACATGACTGTGTTCTTATAAAAAGAGGAAGTTTGGACACAGCCACACACAGGGAGAGTGCCTGGAACATGAAGGCAGAGATTGGGGTGATACATCTGTCTACAAGCCAAGGAAAGCTGAAGATTGCCAGCAAACCACCAGAAGCTGGGGGAGAGGCCTGAAACCGATCCTTTTCTCAGCCCTCAGAAGGCACCAACCCAGCTGACACCTTGATCTTGAACTTCCAGGCCCCAGAGCTGTGAGAAAGTAAATTTCTGTTGCCTAAGCTCCCCCGCCAGCCCATTCGTGGTGCTTTGTTACAGCATTTTTGGGACACTCCTTTGGGGCTGACAGACCAGAATCCTGGCTCGTCTGCCTTTTATCTGGGAGAACCTGGGAGACCCTGCGCATCTTACTTTCTTTCTTTGAGCCTAGGTCCTGGGGCTCAGAACCAGAACTCCGAGGCCTGGCTGGACAGACACTGGTCGGGTCAATCAGATCCCTTACCTGGATGTTTGGGGGTGGGAAGCTGGCTGACAGCGAACACTCGGCCCTGAGGATGCGCCAGGAGGCTGCTTTGGGCCCAGCGCCAGGTAGCCAGTGTTGGAGCAGGTGTGGGAACTGAGAGGAGAGGGAAGGCCGGAAGGCTGAGGGGAGAGGAGAGCCTTCGTGCGGACCTTGCTGCGGGCCCTGTGCCTCCCCAGGCGTGGCTGGTGAGCGGCGCTGGTTTCTCTACGTGTGCTGTTTCCACTGGCTCCCCTTCCTCATGGCATCACAGGAACAAGATTTTAACTTACCTCTTTGCCTGTCTCTGCAAAGGCTTCGAGAACTATAAAGTGAGGAACACATTTCCTCAGCAATAACAAACCCTCCTGAGCGCCCACTGTGTGCAGGTGTAGGGTAAGACATAAAGAAGCTCCAGATGCTGCCTCAGGTTGGCCCAGGACAAGGGAAGTGTCCTGGAGGACATGCAGGCTGCCCATGCCACCCCCCCACCGCCCACCCCAACTCCAGGTCGGAATGAAATAGATCAACCAGCAAAGCTCTAGCATTTCCCACTGTCGACTGTTAAATGCTATTGTGAAATGTCAGATATCACATTCTTCCACTTCCTCATCTTTTCTTCCCTCCATTTTGACAGGCATGGACTAACAGAAGAAATGCAAAATGCATAGTTGGAGCTAAAATAAGCAACACAGCCTGGTGGCTAAGAGAGAGTGGGTCTGGAACCAGACTGGCGGAGTTCATGTATGATCTTAGGCAAGTTGTTTTACCTCTGCACCTCAGTTTCCCCATCTGTACAATGGACAAAATAAACCTCACTGCAATTTTGTGAGGATTAACTTAACGAACTATAGAAATGATCCCTGAAAGCGTAGTCTTGTGAGGAGTTAACATGTACAAAGTGCTTACACCAGTGGCTGATGCACACCAAGTCCTGCCTGGACATTGGCTCTTAATAAAGAAGTGCACAAAGTTGGGAGGTACAATGAAAGAAGTGGTTGTTCATCGTATGACATTTCTTGGGGGCACCTGCCCAGCTCACAGCGACCCCCTTGACCGCCCTTCGCTCCTCTCAGGAGCAGGTGCCATGTCTGTAGAACTTGGCTCTGACACCAGCTGGGTTGGGCATCTGGCCCAAGCGGAGCCAACCAAGCCCTTCCCTTGGCACTGGGCCAATCGTATCCTAGTTTGATCCCAGCTGGTCTCTCAGGTGGCCACCTCCGTTGTGCTGAAGAGACGTCACGGAGAAAGCCAGGATGTGCGGAAGGAAGAGGTAGAGAGGGGCAGACGCATGAAGCAGAGAGAAGGCCCCTGGGTGGCAGGCTCCTGGCCCTTTCTGAACCCTGGGCACCTTCATGCCTTTGGAGCGCTAACGAGGCCACCTTGGCGCCTCATAGCCCATCTTGACTCTTTGTTGAAGCTACTCCAACTGGCTTCTGTTGCAACCAAGGTTTCTTGGCTAATGCCTGGACGCTGAAGCCTGCCTTCTCGTTTCTCTGCATCCGTGAGACTCTGATCTTCCTGGAGTTACAAGGAAATGTCCTTTTTTCCCCTTCAACTCAGGCAGGCTGGAGGCTGGAATCATTTCATTTTACGCCATGGCTGAAGAAAGTAGAGAGCGGGAGGTGGGAAACCATTTTTCCCTACCACCTACTGAGCCCCAACTTCTTCTAAGCCTTGTTCTAAGCACTATCTATGCATTACCTTATCAGCTCCATTGTGAACATCTCGATTGGATCTCTGTTTCTTAGATGAAGAGACCGAGGTTCAGAGAGGTTGATTTAGTTAGCGCAGTAACTCAGCTGAGGAAGATGGAGGAGGGCTGGGATCTAAATCTGAAGTTTGTGCCTTCGAGCTCTTCACCGTCCTGCCTGGTGCCGCTGGATTAGCATCTTCCCACTTTCCTGCTGCGAGATCTCAAGACAAACCCACCATCTTGCCTCAGCTTCCTAATCTGTGAAATGGGGCGATACCATCACCCTTGCCCATCCGAAGGTTGTCTGAAGGGGCTAATGCGAAGGGAGGGGAGGCTAAGTTTTGGAAGAACCACATGTTCCCCACACATGCAACACATCACCCCTCCACTTCCTTTCATTGCTTCTTAGCAACTGACTCAGAGCGGATGGAGGGTAAAGAAAGGAGGTCACATTTAAATTGGTCAATTTGAAGAGCTCACCACAAAGGCTGGTGTGGGAGAGAGAGGCAATTAATCTGAAAAACACAGTGGTTTTTATTTTTTAAAACATGATCCATGGCCTTCGGTTCTCCGTAAGGCTGTGCCAGACATCGTTTTCACCAGTCAGCAGCAGCGTGGCATTTGGGCTCTTCATGAGGTCCCTGTGAATTTCTTTAAAAAAAGAAACAGCATTTGTCTACTTGATGAAAAAGAAGAAGAGATTAATTTAAGAAAGATTAATTTAAGAGATTAATTTAAGAAACTAAAAGAGATTAATACATGCTCATGGTAGAAACTTAGGGGATGGCATAAAGAACACAGAATTTACCCAGAAGTGTTGTGTCCACACAGTGGCTGTATTAGCGACAAAAGGAGCGGACCACAGCGTGCATCTCAGAAACTGCTGTGCAGTGTCCAAGTCAGATCCCCAGAGTACACAACTTTCAATTTTATTAGCATGAAATTCAAGAAGGGGTGAAACTGTCTATAGTTACAAGCAGTGGGTCAGGGGATGCAGTGGCCAGGAGGTGCCCTGGGAAGATGCTGGGGCTGTGGGGATGTTCCATTCCAGTGTCTTGATCAAGGTGTCAGTTATGTGGGTGAAGACATTCATCACTGCCTACCAACCTGTTCTTGAAAATGGGCACATTTTACTCCATGGAAGTTATATTTCAGTAACATTGGTTTAAAAGGGGAAGAAAGGGACCTGCAATTCCACTCTCCTGCTGTGGGGTCTTAGACAAACCCTTGATCTTGGCTACCCTGACCTTAGTTATCCAGAGCTGACTGCTCTTAGGTTTTGGTTTGTGTATGTAACTCAATCAATCGATTCTGTGAAAAATATTAGTTCCAGATAAACTACCATTTCTCTGTAAGATTTTTTAAAAAGTTAACCTCAGACTTAGGAATTTGGTGAAAGTGAGACAGAAAGGGGGGAGAGAATGGTATTTCCTGTTCATTTGATGTCTTCTGTCCCCTGAAACCAGAGAAGGTGGGTAAGTGGTGCAGTAATCAGCTACCCAGTATCACTGGTTGATAAATAAAAAAGGGCTCTCCACCTTTCCCATCACTGCTGATAAGCCTAGAAAATGGGCTGACTTCACATCAGCTCAGAAGGAGGAGGAGGATGTTCATTAACACGACTCCTCTCCTTATACCGGAAAAATAGCACATTTTATTATGTGATCAGTACACTAAATGCTATCAGTACGAAATGTGTGTCCCCTTATACTGGTGTCTCATGCCTGTTAAAGATGAGGCTTGGGAATGATCTCCCAGCTGATGTAATTTTGAGTCAGTTTTCAGACGGAGGTTCCAGAGTTTCCCAAAAGCAATAGCGTGATGAGTAGGTATGAAATCGGGACCACTTAAGAATAAACTGTTTTGTTACCTGCTTTTGGTGCTCGGCATTTTATTATAGTGTGGCTTCATGACATTCAGTAGGCTCTAAAAACAGAGGACTTAAAAGAGCTTGTACCTTATTCCATCCTATGGTTCCCCGTGTTCCTTGGCAGGCTGATCAAGCCGGCGGTAAGTTTGCTCCAGCCCCCAGAAGTGGCATCTGAGGGGGAACGTGCTATTGTGTGAGTGCGAGCAACATGGGACTGCAAACCACAGGATGGTGGGGGAGCAGACCGTGTCCACTGCAAGGGAGGGGAAAACATCTTCCTTTAAACCAGGGGTTCTCAACAGCAGTGATTTCGGGCTCCTGGGTGACATGTGACAATGTCTGAAGACACTATGGTTGTCACAAATCAGGGATGCGACTGGTATCTGTGGGTAGAGGCTTGGAATGCTGCTGAAAGTCCTCCTGTGCGCAGGACAGCTACCTGCCACCAAGATTTATCTAGCCCCAAATGTCAATAGTATGCAGGTTAGAACCCTGAACACATCTGTATCTGGAGTATCTGCACTCCGGCTGTTGGACAAATGGGAAAAGTCCAAGAAACGGAGTGGATGGAGAGTCCGTGGCTGGGGAGTCGGCATGGGTTCTACAACGCCGGTGGGGACATGAACTAGCTGAAGCTCATTCAAAGTGCTCCTTCTGTGCCAGGCCGTGAGCCTGATACTGATTACCTCGTTTAATTTCTACAACTCTGGAAAAGGGCGCTGTTATGACCCCACTTTGTAATAAATCAACGGAAGATATACACAGTTGGGAAAGGGAAGAGGAAGAGGTCGTTTTCTTCTTGGCGTACTTTTTTCCTAGGGTGCTGGTGATTTTTGTGGGGAGATGACGCCTGGTTCCTGCCACTCGACTGTGAGCTCCAAGGTGGGAACATCCTGGGTAGACTGGATCTGTAGCATCCAATAGAGGCCCTGGAACTCAGTAGCTGCTAATAGATAGGTTTTTGATGGAATGGAGTGAAAGGGTGAAAGAGCGGGGCAATGTCACCCAGCGATTAGAACGTAGGCATTGCAGGTAGATTTCCAGCCCTTCAACAGATAACTAGCACGTACCTCCTCTGGGCCAGGCCCAGAGAAATAGCAGTGGCTTGCTGAAGTTAGCCTACCGGCTCACAAGAGCCAACCGTTAATTTATCAGGAAGCTTGCAAGCTGATTGTCAAACAGCCATTAAATAAAATTAAATTATATAAAGTTACCATTAAATAAATTATATATTTTAAAAGGTAATAAAACACATCACTTCCTAATTATTTTACTACATTTCACTGGTATCTCTGTTCTGGAGGTTATTTATGTCTATCGCAGGGGTCGCCAAACCTTTTCTATACAAGGGCCAGAGAGCAAAGGTTTCAGGTACTGCAGGCCAAGAGCGGAATCTGGCCCCTCAGCCACTGTTTGCTGTCTCCCGGTCTGCTGTGTCTGTGGGGTGGAAATAGTCCATGGTAGGGGGCATCTCTTTTTGACTCCACGTTCAGTTATGCATGTTGGTAGCCTGAAATCGGCTATGGTGGGAATACTTACACCATGGAAACTGTCAAACGCTGTGAATCAGGGCTTTCCTTTTTGCAGCAAGCTGATGGTTACACATTTACCTGCACACCACTGGACACAGTGACGGGCAAAACTGGAGTGAACCCTGCCCTCTTGGGAGGGCAGAGCCGGGTTTGTCCACCATTTTGTGGTGGGCTGGGGCGAGAAGGGAGTGGTGCAAAGGCTGTTGAGGATCTCCCCCGGAGACCACTGCAGGGAGGGGGGCACCCATCTCTAGGAGTGTCTGCTGGAAGAGGGTGTTCAGGGGGACCTCTCCTAGGGCTGGCCACCCACAGTGATGCTCCCTGCCCCCACCAGGGACTTCGCCACTTCATCAAATTCCTCTGTGGGCAGCCAGGGCAGCAGATCTGTCTTTTCTCTCTGACTTAGCTCAAGGGGAATCTTTCTTCAGGGACTTGAGAGTGGAGATGTGAGCTCATGAGGGCAGTTTATTACTTGCTCACTACAACCACAGGTCCCAGTACTGCACTTGACCCAGTGTAGGCTCTCTACCACTGCGGCCCTGGGGGTGAACCCAGAATGGGTTGCTGAACTCAAATGATGCAGTGAGCAGTAAGGGCACATCATGGTCCTTTGGAAACTGGCTCCAACAAGGAGAGACCACCAGCAAAGAATGCAGAAAAGGACATGTTTGTCTGGTGACCTGGCTGAGTGAACTGACCTGTGGGAGCTCAAGGACAGTGAAGGGTTTGTGAGTTTCTGTGTTCTCTCTGCTGCTCTGTAAACCTGTCAAGTTCAATGCCAGGAGAGTGAACTCTGAGGGGCTGTGACCATTTTTTTTGGAGAGTCTGGGTTCCCACAGCATTGAAGATGACTTGGGTACATGATCTATCCATGGAAGCTCTAGGGGCTGTCTCCTACAGAGGCTGGGTGTCGGCAGGGAGGGGCTTTCTGATGGAATCTGACAGCTGGACTCAGACTCATTTCTAGGTCAAGAACCTGGGATGGTGGGAGGCATGGGGCTGTGCAGTGAGTCACGTGAGTCCCAGTCTAGAAGGCTGAACTCCAGTGCCATCCCATCTCATCACGTCTCAGCTTACTGACCTGGTCCTGTGGCCAGCACGTTCTGAAGTGCCAGAATAGTAATAGGTGTAATAGGTAGGCGTGACCATCAGTCATTGCCTATTCATTGAGCCCTGACCTGCCATGTGTGGTCCTGGAGCCAGCTCTGCTGTTAACCAGCAGAACTCTGGACTTCTGCCTCAGGGAACTTTTCTTCTTACAGCATCTTGGGGGCTCCATGTCACTGACTTGAAATGAACATTAAAAAAAATTATTTAAAGATACCAGTTGAATTCAATACTTTCATCTCTTAGGCCTCTGCCCTGCATTCCTGGGGCACTTTGCGTATCTTGGCAAACGAGCCAGTTTCCTTCACAGGCCAAGCGACCTCCCACCTCTTCATGTCTGCCACACCCCTCCCCCACTTCCAGGAGCACCATTCCCCTTCTTTACCTGATTCCTAAAGGCCTCCTGAAGTCAGGACATGTACTCGGCACTGCTGGCTTATCTGTTCTCCCTCTGTTCCTGGAGCTGAAGCACAGGGCTGTTGGTCATTGTCTCTATTATGCTTTATCTGAACTCCATACCTAGGTCCAATCCTGACCAGCTAAGTGAGCCTGGGCAAGTAGCTCAGCCTCTCTGTACCCTCATCTGCAAGAGAGGGTGATGATGACAGCTGTGTCATAAGGTTGGTGTGACAGAGGAAAGGTGCATGCATGTACAACTGCTAGCCCATAGGAAGTGCTTTGGATACTGTGGCTATTATAAAAATTACTCCTGTGACAGCATATAAAGGAACTCAATAAAGGTTTGGACAACTGACTAAACCCCACCCTTGAATGACCTGGGTGGTTCTTGGTCATAATGATTCCTTGCACCCACATTTACAGCATGAGGTGGGGGCTTGGGTATGCCCCTTTCTCGCTGGGTGGTTTTCTCAAGGCTCTTGAGTGAAATGGCAGCAAATTGTGGGGAAATGCTGAATACTTTATTTTCTTATTTAACTGTGTCTCCCTCAGGCTGCCCAAGGAGAGGACAGCTCTGCCCATCTCCTGGGCAGGCTGGACATTTGAGTCTTATTTTGTGAAGGACTGGGCCCTGCCTTTCACCCTCTGCCCCCAGCTCTGGTCAGGCTCAGGGGAGAGGGTCTTTGGGAAACCCATCCATCTTGTTGGTTCTGAGTGAGAGTGGGGAGGGATTCTGTGCACAAACTGCGGTATTCATGATACGACTCAACACATGCTCACACTCCTGCATTCACTGTGGGGCACCCTCACCTAACAAAAATACACAAATCTGGGGGTTTTGATGGTATTAACTGCAGAAGCATGTGGACATGAGAAAACCTGACAGAGGAGCGGAGCATTTGCTGGACGGTGTTAGATGTCTCCTAATGGCAGAAGGGGAACCTTTTGGTTTCAGTTCTGGTTCCTGAGTGATACTGCAATTCATTCCACTAAGGTGCTTCCAGTATAATTCTCTCCTCTGCCTGGTGCTGGGCCTAGAGATGCAGAGATGAATGTCCAGATCCCGGTCTGAGGGGAGAGATAAAGAAGATGGAGCTACTGGAGAGCAGGAAGAGGAAGGGAAGGGGCAGTCCAGTAACTTTGGGGGAAACTTTGTTGTCTAGGTTCTTAGAAGGGGCCAGACTCCAGGGGCAGGACAAAGGAGGGGGTGCTGAGGAGCCTGTCCCCTCTTCCTAAGTGGCTTGAGGACCCCAAAGGCTAAGGCGGGTAGACATTTGCAAAAGGCCAGGGATCTGCAGCCTGGTATGCTGAGACAGGGCAATATGGGCTCATTATCTGTATGATTGAGGCAACATTTTCAGTTCCAGGAAACATCCCGGTCTGACGGCCCCATCGGGCCAGCCAGAGGGGCAGCCTGAGCTCTGGAGGGGATATCAGAGGTCAAGCGGTTCAGCGCCCACCCCCTCTAGCCAGAGCTCAGCCCAGGCCCAGTCCCTCCCTCTGGTTTGCACCTGGTCGCACGCACCTCGGCCGTCCGGTCGTCCGCGTTGACATGTTTGGGGGTGCTTACGTTTCCCATCAGGGCCGCCGGGGTGGGGAGCCTGTGGTCCGGGGGGTGCCTCGGCTGGTTCCCGAATCTGGTCCCGTCCGCGGGCCTTGCAGCTCAGCAGCGGCTTGAGCACAAGCCCGGGCACCGGCGGGGGCGCGGCTGGGCGTGACGTCACGCCCCGCCCCCACGGCCCCCGCCCACCCTCGCATTCCGGGCGGGGCCGGGAGGGGGCCAGCTGGGGCTCGCTCGCACAGCCCCCTCCCCAGGGGCCGCCCCCTCCTGTAGGGCCGCGCCTCTGCCCCTCGCATCCCCGCCCGGCGGCCGACTCCGCCTGCGAGAGGCCGAAGCCGCGGCGGCGGCCGCCGTTGCCGCCATTGACGTCAGAGGGGCGGGCACATGACCCCGCGGGGACCAATCGCGCGGGCGCGGAGCGGCTTCTGCAATCTCTCAACTGAGCCGGCCCCCGCGGCCCCCGCCGCACTCTTGCCCGCGGACGGCCGCCCAGACACACGTACTGTACACACGAGCGGGTGGCGGGGCCGAGACACGCCCGCCGCGCGGCCCCCGCTCGCCGCCGCCGCCCCCCGGCGCAGCCCGCGTCCCCACCCGTCCGCCTGCCCGCCGAGCTGGTCCGGCCGCTGGGAGCATGCACCCGACGAGCTAGGAGGAAGCCGAGCCCCGCGGGAAGGACCGAGAGCCGGCCGCGCCAGCCGCCTGCCCGCCGCGGGCCCCTCTCCTGTGGGCGCCCCCAGCCCCACACCCCCCCACCTTCCTGAGCGGTGGGGGGGTGCGGGCTGCCGAACGGGGGCCCCGCCGCCCCGCAGCCGGGACAGCCCCTCTCCCCGCCCCCGGCGCCCTCCCCGGCCCGGCCGGCCATGGATCTGACCAGCAGCGCGGGCGGCGGCGGCGACCCCCGGCAGATCGAGGAGACCAAGCCGCTGCTGGGGGGCGACGTGCCTGCCCCCGAGGGCACGAAGATGGGCGCCGTGCCCTGTCGCCGGGCCCTTCTGCTGTGCAACGGGATGAGGTACAAACTGCTGCAGGAGGGCGACATCCAGGTCTGTGTCATCCGGCACCCGCGGACCTTTCTCAGCAAGATCCTCACCTCGAAATTCCTGAGGCGCTGGGAGCCGCACCACCTAACGCTGGCCGACAACAGCCTGGCGTCCGCCACGGTGAGTCTCTCAGCGCGGCGCGCTCCTGCACCCCTGCACCTCCCCTCCGGGCCCGGGAGGCGCCCCCTCCCACCTCTGCACCTGGAGCCCGTGGCCTGCTGCGCGCTGGGGGGCGCCAAGGGGCGCCGCGGGCGGGGAGAACCCGGCGCCCGACTCCTGGCCTGGGCTCTGGGCTGATTCGTGAAAACCGCAGGTCTGCCCAGCCGGCAGCTCGGGGGGGATCCTTAGAATTCTGGAGAAGATCTGCCTTCCCCCCGCCCCCCCCTGAGCATTGGGGGACCTCTGGGCACAGAGCTTGGGTTTCTTACAGATAGGACCGTGGGATAGACCCGAGGCTGGGCCCGGATGGTGGTGAGGGTTCCCTTTCTGAAAGCCTGCGGTAGATGGGAAAACAAAACAACCAAAAAATAAAACAAACAAAAACCCCAAACCTCAAACCCCCAACAACCTCAAAACCTCCAAACCCAAAGAATTTCCAGAAACCAATTCCTTTCTTTGCTGTACCCATCTTTTATTCTTTTTTCCTGCTCGGGTTAGCAGGCAAAACTGGGTGCTTGCTTCCCTTTCTGAGAAATCTCTTTCGCAGGTTGGGCGGTTGAAAGTGTAGGGGGAGGGGGCAGGGGTCCTGGACTGTCTCCTCCCCACCCAGGGCTGTGGGTCAAGTTCTAGTGTGGAAGCTGGACTGTGGGGCTCTGGTCTTGCATTGTCTGTGAAGTGTGTGTAGACGTGTGTTTCGTTGCTGGGGGGTTTATTTTGTTATTGTTTTTAAATATATGGCTGGGGCTGGGTCAGCTGGGTGAGAGGGAGAGGAGAAGTCATTGATCTGTTTCTGAAATCAAATCTACAAGGTGGAGAAAGACAGCTGTGGTGGGTCACAGCAGGCGGGTGGTGAACAGGAGCCTGACTGAACAGGATGCTTTGTGTTTTGAAACAAGGACAGTTTAAAGCACGAAATCAGCTTGGGCCTGAGCCTTGCTTAGGGGGTTCCTTCTTCTATGGAGAGGTGACAGTTCTTCCCCAGAATGCACACTCCCCCCTGGGGCCACAGTGAGTCTGTTTACTAAGCACATTGGGGGGGGTGCAGAATTCACCGCTTGTCCACACCTGTGCCAAGAAAACCCAGCCAGGAAACAGGGTGTCGCTTACATGGCATGTCACAAACGTGTAGCATGTGTAGACATTTCCCCGGCATCCATGTTCCCTTGGCAGCGTGTCACAGGCCGTGCGTGACACATGCTCCAAGGAATGGGGAGGGGGAAAAGTTAGAAGAAACCACACTCATCGAAACAGCTTCCCCCTTCCTGAGAGCATTGAAGCACTGGAGGACTTTTATTCTGAATTTTGGGTCCGACGTGCTGAGAACACCTATTTTTTCTTTCCTGTGGGCACGTTGGTGCAATGTCTGCAAAGGGTGCTTTCTCAGGAAGGATCACTGGTTGTTGAGAAGCAGCCCAGGCCCAGTTTCAGGCTCGTGCATGTTTTTAAACCCGTTGCAAGCCACAGGCCTCAGTGTTTGGCTTTTCATTTGATGGAGGGAGAGCCTCAGAACATTTGCCCTCATGCAGGATTTCAGATTCAGGGAAGAAGTTGTATCCTTAGTAATTCCCTGCCTGGGACCTGGAGCTCCCAAATCTGGCTTCAGAATTGTCTCCTGGCTCAGAGGGGCTTTATTTTTTCTGCCACCCCTCAAAATGATGGGGAGTTGCGGGGAAGAAAAGGGTTGAGGGGCAGGTGGATGGGAAAACAGTGATCCTCTGTGGGAAGAACAGGCCGAGCTCTCCTGCTCTCCCCTGGGAGAAGCCAGGAGTGTGTCTTCTACTGCTGCTGGCCACGGTCTGGGGGAAGCCAGCTTTGGAGCTCATGGCCCCAGACTTACCTCTGGTTGCTCAGGATGTAAATGAGAGAGAGGTGGAGAGACAGAGAGAGAGAGAGAGAG